ACCAAACGTCAGCTGTGCGCGGCGCACAACTCGAGGGAGGGCAGTTACATAGAAAATGGTTTGGGGCTTGGAGACACAATTGGATAATTCGTTTTCGTTCTTCGGCCCATTTGATTCTCCCTGTTTGACCTTTCATGCGGCCTGTGCGTGCGTCTCACAGCTCTCCATCTCTCTCTGCCCTCGTAGCATTGCCTCTCGTGTGGTGACGTAAGCGGGTATTCATCCGTTTCTTCACAAATGTATGCATGTGTTTCTTGTTTCCTAATTCAGAAAAGTAATCATTACTTAACAAGATGAACTACCCTTCTTCGCCCGAGAAATGGCGGCCTTCCTAACGGCGACAATGGCTCAGACGATATAAATCTTCTGACTTGTACTTTGGAGGCGTCTGCTTCGAACCTCGACAGGGAAATCGACTATCTTGTGGTTTCCCTTAGTTCCTCCAGGCAAATACCAGAATATCTCTAATCAAGCCACGACCACTTCGTTTCACTTCCTGTCTAACTGATCAATCATGATCGCCCTACCATTCTACACTTCATGGCCTGAACTACTTAAAGCGCCGTTAAAGAAATAAATAACAAATTACTTTCCTTGCCTATACCAAACTTTATAATATCTAAAACTTTAAGGATGGAATGACATCCAAATTAAGAAATTAAAATTTACTCATGTAATTAAACTAGAAGTTCTGGGAACAACTAATCGCCATTTTTAACGAGCCGTTGCTCAGTAACGACAAGAGGATATACATACAGACACACAGACTGATGGGAAGAATTTACGAGGCACGCCGATAGTATGGGCTCAGGTGCTAAGTTTCGTAAAGACTGTTCAAGGTATACAGAGTTAATATGGGAAGATTCACAGGCACACAGACAGGAAAGAGATCCCATAAGCCTCTAAGCTGCCGTTGTAGCATAAGATACGTACGATAGACATGATCTGCTCTGCAAAGCCTGTACTGACTGAGAGGACTTGTATACAGTGCAAAAGGATATGCTATATGTAAGACACGTACAATTGATGAAAGGCCAAGCATATTCAAGAGACAAACCCATCCTCTCCTCAGAGAAGATGTTACATAAGGATCATGACGACCGCAAGTGTAAAAGGAAAAGGCAGCGGAAGTCCCCTGTGCTTAACTAATTAAGCACTACGCCATGAGGGCGTATGGGGGAGTGGATGTATAGGTCCACATTTTCTTGACCTCGGCACTAGTTGGAGGTGAGTGGTCAGCTTCATGCCCCTGCCGCTTTACCCCCGGGGAAAGAGCCCCCGGTACCCATTCGAAAGGAGGTTGGGTGGACCCCACCGAGACTTGAACTCCGACCTCCTCCACCGTCCATCCCGCAGCCAGTCGCTATAATGACTGAGCTATCCCGACTCCCACGACCAGAAGGGTTCAGTTGAAAAAAAAAATTGTCTGGTCGTGAGTGTCAAGGGGGTTGGCGCCATTCATAAAGTAACTCTGACGTCAGTAACCAATGTATCGTTATTCAACAAAGTAACAGCTCACATGTAAGAGAATTCCTTCGTATGCCGGACTGCTGACTAGAAGTCAGTGCGCGACTGGCCATCCCGACAGAGGTTTTCTTGAGGTGGTTCCCAAGTTCAAAGTTGTACTGCGTGCTCTTCATGCAGCCCCCCCCCCCCGAATTCATCAAAGTTGCACCCCATTCCTGTCAAAGCCACCAAATTATTTTTTTCTTTTCCAAATTTTACAATTTGTTACTAATTCAGAAAAGCAAAATTCCGCGGTCCCTGTCTCGAGCCACTTCTTCTAACCATCCTAACGCCTTCACCTTCACACTGCCCTTGTGATCAGGATGAACGTGTGCAGCCTGGGAGCCTTCTAACAAAATTATGCGCTTTCTAATCTCGGAAATAAAATGCCTCGTATTACTCACATGACTTCTCCCATTCTTCTACTCTTCTGCTATACTTTCTACCCTACCCTCCTGCTCTATTTAGTTCTGAAAGCGCTCAAGGGGGTCTGCTGTCAAATCTGTTCTTTCAGAGGGTTCACACTGAATTCCGTAGTTTGTCTATCTCAGTTTCCGCCACAAGCTACACGGGTTACGGCCAAAAATTGTCTACAAACGCCATGTAGTCCGTTGGAAGTCGATCGAAGTTTCAGAGGAACATGGCGTCTCCATCTTCAGAGTCGAAGAATAGGCCAAGTAAGAAATCAGCGTGAAAGCAGGTATGAAACATAGCCTGCTTGACTTATTTTTCGACCATGAAGATGGAGGCGACATGTTTCTCCGAAACGTAGGTTGACCACACGACGTTATATCCCAGAAATCTTTATAACCACCGCTGTGTGAGAGTGTTCCATTTCGTAAGAGAACGGCAGTAGAGATTAATTCGAACTGGGTTGGTTTTGTTTTGTTACTAGGGCCTCATGACTGACATATGACGGGACAAATAATATTAAAGGCAGTGTGGCCATTCTTTTGACAACATCACAGAGTTCATAATGGACCGAAACGGCTGACAGGATGGACGGATGAACTGACAAGGATGGCTGAGTCGGACTACATCGATTCGCCGCGCCTGGATGGGCAAACTGCGTATGTACCAGCGCCATACACACACACACACACACACACAGCAAACAGAACATGTACGTCCACAGTCAACCGTCCGGCTCAAGAACATACAGTAAAATCCCTCGCTAATCCGGTTGCAATTAATCTGAATGTCGGTTAATCCGGATTGAAATACGAAAAATTCTGTGTAAGATTCGAGTTTTTCACTGCAGAAACTATGAAGAATGCCGTCTTCTGGCATGTGACGCCGTGTAGATATTGTGCAAACCGACGATTCGGAGGAACATATCGCCTCCATCTTCAGGGTAGAAGAAAAAATCTGCGAGTCTGGAACCAGGGTGAGCAAGTGGCTGCAGTCTGCGATACGTTCCTCCGAAACGTCGGTTTACACAATATATACACGGTTCCATACCACAGAAGACGGCATTCTTCATGAGAAATGCTGCTCACAGCTGAGATGCATGGCATTTATGAAGGCAGATGAGACATTTGTCTGTTCAGACAAAAACTTGTGGCTTTTTCTTTAACATTATTACGTTCAAAAACAAGTACAACTTCTGAAGTCTTCTATCGATGAATAAAATGTATTGTTTTTTATAGTTCTTAAATAGTGATATTTTGTTATTTATTTTCATCAGCACTGCTTACATTTAATTTTGTTCTAAGTTTTTTTTTTGTCTTCTTGGGCTACCTTTTGCTTCACTAATCCGGATTTTAAGAGGCAGAAAACAAAAAAGAATTACAAATTGAATTAGAGGAATTCTTGCTACCATTCGGTTTAGAACCCCGGCGTCTTCATGCTCCATCACGATGCTGTCAGTATTTCGGACTACATAGCGTCGAATCGTTGTATGACTGACGAACAATGAATCGTAAAGGATTTGTAAGGAAGCAGTCGTTGCCTGATCGATGTACTATTCCGGAATCTGCCTGCAGGGAGACTGCGAAAAACCATGAAAATCTTCAGTCTGGGTAACTAGAAAAACGGCTTATCTTGACATGTATTTCATGGTTGAACTCAGTCCCTCCAGACAAATACCAAGTTAGTACATAAAAATTTCGCTATGACCGCTCCCTTCCAAATCATTCATCAATCATTGTAACATTGGACGCCATACTGTCTGAAACACTGACGTCATACAATACACTACACACAAAAAAATGTGTGTTGTAAATGTGATTCGCAGATTTTGTTTGATTTTATAACAGACTGCATAGAAAACGGAAAACAATTATTGCTTACAAGCCATGAGAGCACTACAGAATGCGTCCTTTTGTCTTGTTTAACGTTACAGTGCGCATAAAGAGAAGTGTACTGAAATAAAGGCAAAAGGTCGCGGGACAGAACTTGTTGAATTACACCATTCCCCATTTTCTTTTCTTTTCATTAGTTCAAATGTGAGGTACAATTCGTTCAATTAACCACGAGCATACTGTGCACCATGCGGTCTTCGCATGCTGTCCTTCTACTGTCGTGCTCCCACCAACTGACCCCTATCAAAATTTGCACTTTCGAAGGAAGGGGGGAAAAAAAAAACTCCGTGACCTGTAGTACGTAGGCGAACTATACCGACCGCCTCTGTGGTCTAGTAGTCCGAGTTCCTGGCTACAGATCCAGAGGTCTCGGGTTTGATTTTCTGAGTAGTGGGTCTGGAACGGGGTCCACTCAGCCTCGTGAGGATAATTGAGGAGCTATTTCGAGGAAATAGCGGCTCCGGTCTAGAAGACCGAGATAAACGGCCGTGGGGATCTGTTGCTCTGACCACGCGACACCCTCTATCCGCAAAAGTTGGCACTATCTTCACCGACAAGCGGCGGTCGCTCGGTCAGTCAAATAAATAAACGTACATATGCTCATTCGCGCCGCCATGGTCCCCCGCTCCCTTATCGAAAGGACAACCAGAAAACTGGCTTAAGGTTCAGGTTATTTACGGTCATGTTTAATTTATGGCAATTGAGTAGTAAAGCCAGAAGATGCTTTTTGAATAACGTTATTTTTTTGCCAACTTTCCTTATTTTGAAAATAAAATAAAAGTAGAGCTTATGATATCACCTTGCTGTCTGTGTGTCTGTGAATGCCCTCTTTTAACTTTTGAATACCTTAACAAAACTTTATGAAACTTGGTATGTATACAATGGCACCTAAGTCCATCTCAACAGCGTGCATCATAAACCCCTCCTATCAGTCTGTGTTTCTGTGTATCCATCTGTCGTTCCTAGGCAACGGCTCGGTAAAAATGCTACCTCGCCAATGAATACACACGCAACAACAGAAGAATTATTGATCGCGTCGTTTTCTATGTGGTCCGTGTCACATCAAAGGAAAATTTAGTGTACTAGCTTGGCATTTTCCGGTCAACTCCCGAATATAAGCTGGGAGCGTCGCCGCTTGAGGCAGTCTGCCCGAGTATAACGTGCATAACTGTCAATATGTAAAGAACTTACCCTCCTTTAGTCTTATGAGGATACGCGGATCGGAACCCGGGCTGGTGAAGTAACCAGCGCCCTCCTCATCCCAAAATAATCGATCCTGCTGTTCCTGAAGAACTTCAGCCCATTCAAGCCACGATGGATCAAAACAGGACTCGTACAGATCCAGAAGTCCTCTGACTAGGAATGCGTAGTCGTCCAGAAATCCAGGAATGGGTGACGAACTGAAGGCAAACAATTTTACTGGTTTTAGACTCTGAGGCTGCTTTTGTTCTTCAGTAGTTGCATCATGTGGATCTGGGCAGTGCTGACGACGTTTCGGAGGTATATGAGGCCATCTGATAACGTCATTTGTCAGACCCGAGCTCCCACACTTCCTTGTGCGCATATTAAACCAAATCCAAACCCTCATCCCATCCAACTAAATTCGAGGATGGGCCCCCAAACCCACCTCGACGTTGCGGTGTTCCTCGAATAACTCATTCGGTTTCTGGACTAAAGGGTCAAGCGCTGCTGCAGTTTCCGATTCCTCCCGTTTCCCCTCTCGCGCCATAATCAAGCCACGCATAACGCGAGAACACTCAAGGCCTGTTAATAACAAATCTCGGCCGCGCAATAGCTCAAGCGGTTAGTCGCTGGCTTCCCACCGCGGCGGCCCGGGTTCGATCCCGGGACTGGTCAAGTGAGATTTGTGGTGGACAAGGTGGCGCTGGGGCGGGTTTTCTCCGAGTACTTCGGTTTCCCCTGCCAATTTTCATTTCACCAAATTCTCCCATCATCATAATCACCAGCGGCAGGTACAATAGACCAATCAGTGGCCGCCGTGCCGAATGGACCCAGTTGAACTCCACCCCCCACTAAGCGAATTTTAATTTTTAATGACAAATCTAGGTCGATGAATTAAAAGTCAAAGAAATGAGGGAAAATCTTTTAATTTAATGTAGTCATAATTATTAAATCTCAACCTGTTTTTTTTTTCCAATTTATCTACAGACGTGAAACACTAAAGGATATTTTGTATGCANCCCAAGCTATGGCACGGATATATATATATATATATATTGTTTGAATTCGGGTAATGACTGTTACCACTCAGTCCAGAAGCTTTTGTCTTCTCGTCTGCTGTCTAAAAACATAAAAAATACAACATACAAAACTATAATTTTGCCTTTGGTTCTGTATGAGTGTGAAACTTGGCCTCTGACATTAAGGGAGGAACATAAGACTGAGGGTGTTTGAGAACAGGGTGCTGAGGAGAATATTTGGACCGAAGAGGGATGAAGTGACAGGAGGTTGGAGAAAATGCATAATGAGGAGCTTCATAACGTGTACTTTTCTCCATGTATAATTAGAATGATCAAGTCAAGGAGGATGATATGGGCAGGGCATGTAGAATGAATGGGGGGAAGAGGAATCCATATAGGATATTGGTGGAAAAGCTGGAAGGAAAGAGACCACTAGGAAGACCAAGAGGTAGGTGGGTGGGCAATATTAAAATGGATCTTAGAGACAGGATGGGATGGTATGGATTGGATTGATCTGGCTCAGGACAGGGACCATTTGAGGACTCCTATGAACACGGAAATGAACCTTCGGGATCCATAAAATGCTGGGAAGTTCTTGAGTAACTGCACAATTGATGGATTCTGAAGAAGGGCTCAGCTCCATGAAGTCAGTTACATATACATAATGGGCAGCATTTTGTAGGCCCTGCAAATTATGTGACAGTCAGTACGGTGGAACTGAACAACTGCACTGGCGTGGGTAAGCGTTGTTTGTCGTGTGCAGAAATGTCTGGCGAGTTGAATATTTTTTTGTATGGCTTGTGAACCTGGCCAACGTTGGTTGACCCCTGTCTGTAGCCTGTCTAAACGCGTTGCGAGATATTAATTTTCTAGACCACCGAACAAAATATGACCATTCCCAAAACGTAAGCTAAGAATATATTCATTTATGTACCACCACTGAATAATAAATAAATGTTGAGGTAGAAAACAAATAAATTGGATGACAAATAGTTCTCTGCAGCAACGCCCTTAGGCCTTACTTTTGCGTGGAGCAATAAATATATACTAAAATACTGATATATGCAGCACAGTAACGACCGTAAGAATAATATTACTGCGACCTCGTTACCAAGATCCTGGGTTCGATATTAAAATGCTTCAGTTATAATTATTTACCGCAGGCTGTAGCTAAGTGTGTTCATATAATGCCTTTATAATTTCTAAACGAATTATAAGACCGTAACAAATCACAATTAGCCGGTCACGGTAGCCGAGCGGTCTAAGGCATGCACTGTTTTCGCTCGATCGGAAGCCGGGATCGTGGGTTCGAATCCCATTCAGGGCATGGATGTTTGTGTGCGTCTTTCTGTGTCTGTGTACAGGTAGAGGCCTTGCGACGAGCTGGTCACTCGCCCAAGGAGTCCTACTGAATGTGTAAGATCGAGAAAAACCGAAGTGAACGGAGTTCATGGAGGTAGGCCTAGGCCCACTGGGGCTGTAGTGCCATGGGGAAAAAAAAATCACAATTACATCCAATATGAAATTAAGATTAGATTAAATAAAGGGAACACTTGCTACAGGCCAGCGCAGAATCGTCTGTCTTCCTGTATTCTATCTAAACCCTAAATACTAGGATATAACAAACTCCGTGGTTTCAGTCCGCAAGCGAACTATATCGAACGAGCGACCGCCGCTTGCCGGCGAAGTTAGTGCCAACTTCTACGGATAGAGGGTGACGCGTGATCAGCGCAATGGATCCCCACGGTCGTTAATTTCGGTTTTCTAGTCCGGAGCCGCTATTTCCTTGAAAGAGCTCCTCAATTATCCTCACGAGGCTGAGTGGACCCCATTCCAGACCCACTACTTCTCAGAAAATCTGATAGCGCCGAGAATCGAACCCGGGACCTCTGGATCTGTAGCCAGAAACTCTTGACCACTAGACCACAGAGGCGGTCAAAATATTAGAATATACAGAATTATAGTTTTAACAGTTTTATATGGGTGTGCAACTTGGTCACTCAACACAGGGAAATAACGTTGATTTAGGACGTCTGAGAAGAGAGTAGCGAGGAAATGGCTTGGACCTAAGACATCCGAAGTAAGAGGAAGTTGGAAAAAACTGCACAATGAGAAATTTGACAATTTTTACTCTTCACCAAATATTATTAGCGATCGAATAAAGTTCGTTGGGATAGGAGGGGCATACAGTACGCATGAAAGAGGTGAGGCATACATACAAATTTCGGTACGAAAACCTCAAGGAAAACAGATTTTTTTAGAGATATAGCCAGAGATGGGAGTATAATATTAAAACATATCTTACAAAAACCGGATTTGAAAACCAACACTTTAACAATATGATAACTTCGAAGAGTGCTGTCTTTATGTTGTAAAGCAGTGCAGTACGAAAAAAAACTGACGTTTCGGAGGAACATGCGAGTATCTCTATTTTCGGGGTTGCAGGGTAAGCCAAGCAGGAAACCGGAATGATGCAGGCGATTGGCACAATAAAAACAATACACGTCTCAAAATGATCACGGCGGAGGTGCCTGAAAACTGTGGTCTTCTCGGTTGTGACACCGTGCAGTCTTGTAGGGGGGTACTGAAATTTCGGAGGAATATCTCCTTCCATCTTCCATGAAAACTACTTTACATACCACTGAACCACTTCAACTCACCCATATGGTTACACCATGTTCGCCACCCAGAACAGGTTTGAGGTTCTCGTGTGGATGAATATGAACACAAATGCATTCTGGGTAATCCCGAGACGGAGGCTACACGTTGACAACTTTCTACGAGACCACACGGCATCGAATCCCTCAAGACAAAACTTTGCCTTTTAAAAAAGAATTTGCTCTTCTAGGATATAACGCCGTGTAGTCCGTTGAAAGTAAATAGACGTTTCGGAGTGACATATAGTTTCCATACTCAAGGCCGAAGAATAAGCAGAGAAAGAAAAGACCGTGAAAGCTATGCTTGACACCTGCTTTCACGCTGGTCCCTTGCTAGGCATATTCTTCGGTCCTGAACATGGAGGCAACACGTTCTTCTGAAACGTCGGTTAACTTTCAACAGAGTACATAGGACAGAACGCTGTAAGAATGTCAAACCCAACCTTACCCTTTAATAAGTTGGTTTGCATTGTTTATCTGTTTGATTTGGTTTAGATAATTCGCACAAAATAGAAATTTCAACACGACGTAACACAAACAGTACCATCATCAGACTGCGTAACTGTCCATCCTAACATTGATGTCTTCCAGAAGTGCTATTTGGCGCCGTGCTTCACGTGTGTTGCGCGTGTAGTCTGTACAGTGTTAAGCAGCAAGCGAATATCCTCTCCATGGAGCTCAGCCCTTCATGGGAAGGCACCAGTCACTCAGTCACTCAACAATTTCCCAACATTTCATGGAGCTGTTATTCCGTGCCTTAAAACATCTCTGGGGGCACGTCATCATCAGATAGTGACGCGGGTCGTTACGTCATCAGAAGGGCGCTAGTTTGTATTTTCAACAAAAACAACAGGAACCAAATCTCCATACCGGAGATTTCATTGAATAGTCCAGAAGTTTCTTCTGTAAGGTAAGGTAAAGCTATGCCTGTAAGAGGCTGTCGAGGCTCCCACATTTTCTAGACAATCGGCTCACAGATCGCGGTGAGGTTGTCAGCATTACGCGTCAAGCTATCCCTATAACAGGCCGTGGAGGCCCACAGGGTTGTGAGACGTCGAGGCTCCCACATTTTCTAGACAATCGGCTCACAGATGGAGGTGGGGTTGTCAGCCTTATGGGCCGGTCGCCCTTTACTCCCAGGAACATTCCTGGTACTCATTTCTGTTAGAGGTCAACCGGACCCCAGGGCTATAGTGTGGCTGGAAGGATTAAGTCAACCGAAAAATCCATTACTTCAGGTTGCCTACTCAAAGTATGAAGTATAATCAAATGTTTTTCAATAAAGTTTACTATTTTTTTCCTCTTGCTTTGTAAATATTACGAGCCTTCTTCAATTTCGGATTTGAGGTTCGTGGTCCTTACTTTGCTTCAAAATGACTAATTCCCAGAGCTTCGTGTCGTATGTTCAATGTCACTGACTTGTCTATCACTTTCAGCAACAAACAAACAGAAACAGACTCCGTGGCTTTAGCCCGTAAGTGAACTATAACGACCGAGTGACCGCCGCTTGTAGGCGAAGTTAATGCCAAATTTCGCGGACAGAGGGCGTCGCGTGGTCAGTGCAACGAATCCCCACGGCCGTTAATTTCGGTTTTCTAGACCGGAGCCGCTATTTCCTTGAAATACCTTCTCAGTTATCCTCACGAGGCTGAGTGGACCCCGTTCCATACTTACTACTTCTCAGAAAATCTGGTAGCGACAAGAATCGAATCCGGGACCTCTGGATCTGTAGCTAGGAACTCTGACCACTAGACCACAGAGGTGGTCCAGTTTCAGCAACTCTGACCAGAATTCAGGGAACTTTCTTTTGCAATGCCTGTGCTTTTTACATTTCCAAACCCAGTCCAATAGCATCCTTGCTTTTGTGTATGTGCTTTATAATTCACGGCTCTCCCTCCCCCCAGGTACTCCCAGCAGGAGGGGAAGGGGTCCCTGGGTGTCATAATTTAACCCTCTACTTTTGTAACTGAGTGGGGGTGGTTTCCCTGTGGCCTTTGATGACGATGCCCTTACTGATGCATATATATCTGCAGCAGAGCAAGGCATTCTACACCTACAGAGCCCTTGGAGTTTCCAATACTTTACAAGCTTGGCTCCTATAACATACACTAAGGTTGTCCAACTGGGTGCATTTGGGTTCCACGTGGCCCACAGTTTGATTTGATCAGCCCCCAAGAGTATCATTTCATTCCCTAAAACTCGGCTAATCTTGTTTTATTTTAGCTGTTTATTTAACGATGCTGTATCGAGACAACACCCATAATGCATCAGTTCATTAACAGGGGCATTGTCTACAAATTGGAATGCAGTTAACACTTAGGCTCAAAAAGACTAGGTTTTCATAAAAGAAAAAGCATAGTTATCCCTGTAACAGAATTTGGAGGCCCATAGGGTTGTGAGGTGTCGAGGTTCCCATGTTTCTATACAATAGGCTCACAGATGGCGGTGAGGTTGTCTGCCTTACAAACTGGTCACCTGCCCTTTACCCCCCAGGAAGTTTTCTGGTACTCATTTCTGTTAGAGGCTGAGTCGACCCCAGGGCCATAGGGCAGCTGGAAGGATTAGGTCAATTGAAAAAATCCACCTCGTCGGGATTTGATCCCACAACCTTCTGGCTTGTAGCTCAGTGCCTCAACCAACTACGCTACAGCGTGACCCCTCATTTCACATAACATCTATTAAATAACTTTGCGAAGTATGGAATCAGTATGGCTTCATGACTTTACAATAATATCGACAAAATGCTGCAGACATTTAATGGCTAATTTTTAAGCACCATTGACCCAGTAATTATCTGTCCCAGTGTAATGGAATAAAACATACTTTTTTGAATACGGCCTACAGGTACAATGTGGTCCCTCCAGTGGTCTTAAATTGGTCAGGTCTGCCACATACAACTGATCACATCAAATAAAACAAATAAGGAATGTGATTTGGCAGCTGTACAATTCAGAGTTTCACAAATCAGTAAACTAATTAACTAAGAGCATTCAAGTAGAACAGAGTCCAACTTGAGAAGCCAACAGTTGCTCAGCTACTCAGTAAATTCCCTGCCTTTTATGCAATCCAAAGATTCATTACTGTGTTCACAAGAGCACACCAGTGGTCCCTGTTCTGAGCCAGATGAATCCAGTCCACACAATCACACTCTGTATTTTTTGAAGATACATTTTAATAACTTCTTAGTGTTCGTTATTCTTTAATTCTGTAACATGTTGCTCTTTTGCCGTGAAGGGTTATTATATCCCTGCACGACTTCCAAGCTGGATGATCACCCCTTGTCAACCGACAGTACATTTGGCGCTACCCTCCATATCTGGACGCTGTCTGCAACCTGTGAATGTGCCATGCTGTGGTGACAAGGGACCCACTTTCTTATTTTCTTCTTGCAAAGGGGCTGGCAAGAGTCCCTTAGGACTTACACTACAAGCAGGTCCATTGTACCACAATCTGGTGATAGATACAATCATTGAGCATTTGTGGAATGATAATTCACAGAGAAAAACCAATGTGCTTGGAGAGAAACCTTCATTTGTGCCACTTCATTCACAAAATATCACACATGGACTGCTCTGGTTTTGAATCCAGGCCTCTGTGGTCAGAAGTGGCAACTAAAAGAGGCTCATTTAACAAGAGATTTTTCAAGCACTGCCAAAGAATTATTTTGAGTACATGACAGAAGTGCAATTCTGCACCGTTAACTAAAAGAAGACTATTCCTTACACTTAAAATACAAAGGAGGGAACGCAAAAGAATCCACATGCATATGTGTGTACATGAGAGAGACAAAGATAAGGTAATAAAGGACGAGAAAAGTTGTGTAGCAAGAGGGGCTACACAGGAGGGTAACATCCATGGGGAAATGAATGCACTGCACATCAAAATGTGTCTTACAGCCTTGTGAAAAGTCTCCACAAATGCATGGCAAGAGGCTTACTTACAAATGGAAGTCTGATTCAACTTCACACAAAAGGTTAAACATAAATGTGGATTTAAAGTAGTTCTGAGCATGGTGTATGCCACAACTGCTGTGTTTTTTACTTCATTCATTGCCCGGTATTCTAAAAACTACAGAACACAACATTTTGGAAACTGGATCTACTTCTGTCCTCAGGTGAGAGTAACACCTACTCTGTTGGGACCCTTGAGCTCATCTCAATTACCAGACGACCAATGTCTGAGTCTCAGTCTTATGTTATGACTGATGGTCAGTTGGCCAGTCTCTCTTGGAACAGAGCACCCATCTGGGGCTTATGACCAGATTTTTATTACTGTCTGACAGTTGTTGGTTTGTTGAGGTGGGATGCCCTCTCTGATGAGAGGACTGGTCAGTCATTTACCATTGCTGCTGGCCCTTGCCAGCACAGTCATTCTCGGGTTCGAGTCCTGTGGGGCTCGAGACCATATTTTACTGTCTCAGATTTTAGACTTCACTTTTTGTTGCCTCCTATGACTCACAGAGCTTTGTCAAAGGGAGATAATAAGAAAATATGCAATAAAAACTGTCATAAAACATGCACAGACCTGAAACTAAGACAGAAAGTTAAGTGAAAATTTATAGAACAATCAAGACCATGAAAACCTATGCACAGGATTAGATGGAGAATTTGTGAAACCATTCTGTGCCTACCACTAGCACCATCTGTGGAGTAAGAACTGAACACTTGGTACTAAAACCTTATAGAAACCGTGAAGAATCTCTCATATCATACCGATCTTCTCTGTGAGTTGGTGACATCATTGCTGAAATGGGGGATCCAGATGGGAGGTGTCCACACTGGGTTAAGCATGCCGTACGGGCCGATTCCTTGTATTTCCTGTACCTTCTGTCACTTTCAATATGCATACTCCAGTTTCATCCCAGCAAATCAATAGGAGGAACGTTGATAAAGAAATTGTCACACTCTTTGGGAAAAACGTGACACACAGTGGATTGATTGCACTCATGCCAAGTCCTGGTTTCTTGTGATTCTCCTCCTCAGTGACTCTCGTCTGCTGATTTATCTTCTCGCATCATCTTAATCTTATGTGATGGCCATTATCAGATTCTTTGTTTTCACAAGAACAAATCAGTTACCAAACTAAGATAATACTAGTTACTACAGGATTCTGACGATGGTCTATAACACCCAGAGATATTGGGTTTTCGGACTTTATCCATCGTCCTGCTTTTAAGAAAACTGAGAAAAACACGACATTTTGGAAACTGGATCTGTTACCATCCTCAGTTGAGGGAAAACACCTATTCTATTGGGTCCCTTAGAAAGAGCTAGCCTCAATCACTGGACCAGTGATTGATCCCTTGTTAAATGGGTCTCTTTTAGTTACCACTTCTGACCACAGAGGCCTGGATTCAAAACCAGAGCAGCCCATGTGTGATTTGTTGTGAATGAAGTGGCACAAATGAAGGTCTAGTGATTGAGGCTAGCTCTTTCTAACGGGCCCAACTGAGTAGGTTTATCCTTCCCTATCCGCCTGAAGACGGAGACAGATCCAGTCTCCAAAACGTCGTGGTCTTTTGTCTTTTACATACCAGACGATGGGTGAAGTCCAAAATAAGCCAAAAGAAGTACAGTATACACCATCGTCAGACTCCTTTCAAGTACATCTGGAAAGGTTGAAGAGAGAAAAATCTCAGCTCCTGCCAGGAATCAAACCAGGTTGGCCAGCCTGCAGCGTCAGTATACATACTCAGGTATCATGGGCCACATATTACGGGGGGAGGGGAGAGAGTAGATAAATAAATAGAAGAAACAATGTAAAAGCAAACATTTCTGAAGGAAATATGTCAAGTGTGTAGAAGTGTTTTACTCACATTTGCGCAATGTTGCCATCTGTACCTTTGTAGCAACTTCTTAACAGTGTTTCAGCTGTTGGATTATAGAGATGCTTCTTTACAAAGTTGGCAGCAGTGACTGCTCTCTGAACATACTCCTTACTTTCCAGTGCTTGGCCAGCCTTGGCAAATCCTGTTATCATCAGCCCTGTAAAATAATGCACTGATAATTCATAGACAGTAAGTGCTGTTGTGGTCAATAAATACATAACGCTGTTTTCAGTGAAGAAATTAAACATAGGAACATTAACAGACTCACTGCCAATCCCACTGACCTGAATGGTTCAAATTTATTGCATGCTAATGCTCATCCAATCAAGTGGTGAGCTGTCCCTATGTAAATGTTATTTAATCCTACAAATGTCACTCAAATGCAGAGAAAATTTAAGTGCACTTGTTGAAGGTAAAGTTAAAATATTCAATAACTGTTGAGCCATTGCTTGTTTCCTGCTGCTTATTTGCTTGGCTTACTTTTTGTCCTTGAAGAGGGAGGCACTATGTTTCTCTGAAACATATGTGGACTAACAGCATCACATCCTACAAAATAGTAGTCTTCCAGGGTCACTGCAGCGAGACCCTCAAGTCCTGTGTTTTGTTCGTTCTTTGTCATTCCTGTTCCAAATTAAATAAGTTCAAAATCCCATTTTAGTGGAAAAATGGCTGACCCAGCAGGTAAAATCCCAGTACAGGGTCATGGCAGTGAATGTGCTAAACACATTCGCATGTAATAACCTTGCAGAACAATTACCGTATGTCTAAAACATCTCTGAATGTGTCATTTCCAGACACTGATATAGATACATGACATCATCATTAGAAAGTTACCAGGTTCTGTTTTTACCACATATTGGGGAAAAAAATCGTCATACTAGACATCCTGTTCTACGAGCAGGACTTCACCTCTGTGAGGCTGTCTCCTCAAGGCATGACATAGATAAACAAACAACAAAACAAAAAGAAACTCTGTGGTTTTAGTCTGCAAGCAAACTATACCGAACAGGCAACCGCCATTTGTTTGTGAAGTTAGTGCCAATTTTAGTGGATAGAGGGTGCTGTCTGGTCACTGCACTGATTCCCCATGGCCATTAATTTCGGTTTTCTAGACCGGAGCTGCTATTTCCTTGAAATAGCTCCTCAATTATCATCAAGAGGCTGAGTAGACTCTGTTCCAGACCCAGTACTTTCTCAGAATATCTGGAAGCGCCGGGAATCGAACCCGGACTTTTGGTTCTGAAGCTGGGAACCCTGACCACTAGACCACAGAGGCGATCTGATGTAGACACAGCTTACAACAAAAAGTTCCATCCAAAATGCACCAGCACACACCGAAATTCACTGGTAACAAATAATTTACGAACCATCACTAATACTTGTGCAGCAGAATATTTTTTGAGAAACTAATAGTCACTCAGCTAGTGAGGTTTGTTCAATATATCTGCATATGTGAAAGATGTCCGTGTAAGTTTCACATTAACATGATTACGTTTTTTTTTTGCTTACCTATTGAAGACTAAACTGCAATAAAATTATCTTCTGTATGACAAAATAGCGATTTATAAATGTCTAAAATGAATGATAATAAAATTAACATAATTACATATACTTTAACGAAAATTAAAGTCTGTAAAACTGAAGTAGTAAAACAAATTAAATAAAAAACCTGAGTTACGTGCCCCATAAAGGAATCATCAAACAGCCACAAATGCACCAAGAAAATATTGCCATATGTTGTTCATCACCATATCTAAACATCAACACTCAATGGGTTGCAGTAGCAGTAACAGTCTAGACTTGTATCTGAGAGGTGCTTATTTCAATATTGGCCGAGACAGACTACCTTGAGATTTCTTAAGGGCTTTCTCCATCCCTCTAGACAAATGCCAGGATAATACCTCCATCATGCCATAATCATTTCCTTCCAAATCCTATCCAGTTTATCATTCATCTGCCATCCTACCATTCCACGCTGTTAGCATCTTATCATCAAGATGCGGCCTAGGTCTCTTCTGACGAGCTTCATACAAGATTTCTCTGCCCTCCTTGAGAGCCGCCTGCACGGTCGCCACATCGAGTTCCAACTTCTCTCCTGTCTGCTCCTCAGTCCCAGTTGCTATCAGCACATTCTGGTTTTTCAGTTCATTGTGTGGGTCCTGCAAGAACTTTTCTTCATGTCATACCAACTACATAACTCCATGGAGCACATATGCGCTTGAGAGGCCAACAAACTGCTCAGTGGGTCAAGAGCTACACTACACTTTAAGTAATTCATCAAGCTCACTGGTCCCTATTCTCAGCAAAATGAATCCTGGTGAAACCCTTACATCCTATTTCTAAAAGATCCTTCTTAACATTATTCTTCCACTAATACCCATGTCTCAAAAGTGGTAACTTTCTTCTAGCATTCCTAATTTTATGAGGATTTCTCATCTTCCTCATACATGCTACAAGTTTCTCCCATCTCATCCTCCTTAATTAGATAACCCTGAATTGTGCCTGGATCCATTGCCATCATCATCATCATCATCATCATCAGACAGTGATGTAGATCATTACATGATCATTAAAATGTTACTAGGTTTTATTTTCACCTACACCATGAGTACCATAATTGCCATACTAGAAATTTGGTTAAGAACATAGGACTTCTGCTGTGTAATGTTGCCTCCTTTCTAAGATACTTTAGACAAAGAACAGCAATATTCTGTGCAGGGCACAAATTACGAAGTTCATCACTGTGCAATTTTCACTATCCTTCTGTTATTTCTGGTCTCTCCTGTTAAACTAGAATTATCTTTGTCTTTAAATGTAAAACTCAGATGCCAATCTGTGTTTCTGTACATGCCAAAATCCTGTACGGTCTTTCAAAGCTGGGCAAGAAAACTATTTCACAATTTACACCTTCAACACCCCTATTTAAAATGTAATTTTGAAGACATCATCATCGGAGGTGGAATCCTTAAAATGAAAGTGCCAGGGAAGTCTGGCTCCAAACAGTTCCAGTTAGAAAGAAACATGAAGCTTTTCCCATTATCTAGCAATAGCTTTATATACTTTAAAATACAAAACAGAACAAAAACATAGCCCATGAAGTGCACAAACTTGCTGAGGCTTCCATCTCAGAGGTCAGAAATTAAACCGGCTACAAGAACGTTATGTTCCACATCAGTGTCCTTTAATAGAAGTGGCAGGGTGACACTCCAGGAACCAAACATCACTAGGATGCATGCCCTGGTTTAACATCATCATGAATTTTGTGGGCTTAGATTATTAAGGCCTGTCCCTGTCAACTGAAAGACATCCTTAATAATACCATGATTATTTTTGTTGTCTTTGGTCCTTTCATCCCTTCAGCTCATAATAATTTGAAGATTTCTTGAAAAAAAAAATAGCTTATTTTTCAGTATTAAAAATCTGTGTCATTCTGTATTTAAGCATCCTGTTGCAAGCCATATTAAAACATCTATGTATAGCACTGTCCATCAATAATGCAAGAAATTGTTCCTTTTTCTTCCACTTTCACTTTAACGCAACATGTTCCAACCTTTGATCGCCATCTTCAGGTGTCTTACATCAAAACTGCTATACTGCATTAATATGCGGTAAAATCACACGCTGTAGTGCACTTAATAAAATAAAACAAAATAAAATTCATTAACATTTTTCTATTAAAATAAAATAAAATTCATTAATATTTTTCTATTAAAATAAATAAAATAAAATTCATTAATATTTTTCTATTAAAATATAATAAAATTCATTAACATTTTTCTATTAAAATAAAATAAAATAAAATTCATTAACAGTTTTCTATCAAAATTTTAACGAATTTTATTTTAGTAAGTGCACTACAGCGTGTGATTTTAGCGCATAATAATGCAGTGTAGCAGTTTTGATATAGTAAGACACTTGAAGATGGCCATCTAAGGTCGGAACATGTCGCGTTANCTTTCACTTTAACGCAACATGTTCCAACCTTAGATCGCCATCTTCAGGTGTCTTACATCAAAACTGCTATACTGCATTAATATGCGGTAAAATCACACGCTGTAGTGCACTTAATAAAATAAAACAAAATAAAATTCATTAACATTTTTCTATTAAAATAAAATAAAATTCATTAATATTTTTCTATTAAAATAAATAAAATAAAATTCATTAATATTTTTCTATTAAAATATAATAAAATTCATTAACATTTTTCTATTAAAATAAAATAAAATAAAATTCATTAACAGTTTTCTATCAAAATTTTAACGAATTTTATTTTAGTAAGTGCACTACAGCGTGTGATTTTACTGCATAATAATGCAGTGTAGCAGTTTTGATATAGTAAGACACTTGAAGATGGCCATCTAAGGTCGGAACATGTCGCGTTAAAGTGTCTGTGTCACTCTCTTCAAGGAATGTGGTTTTCTCGTTTACCTGCAAAGGATTTACATTTCCCTCAGGCTTGACATTGAAATGTGTACAAAACACAGTGGCCAGGGAGTGATCATCATTTCCGTTCACATGTTTACTGAGCAGACTCTGCACTTCATTGTATGTCCAGACGCAGAACGCCCCCTCCTTCTTGTGTGATGCACCATGCGTGGGGTAAGAGTCAGCATCCTCTGCGCTATAGAACCCACCATTCTGCAAAACAATACAACAAACTGGTGTAACTTACCAAATACACGTACAGGAATTATGTCAACCGTCAACACAACAAATATACTCAGTTTTAATATTCGATCTTTATAGCTGCTACATGTTTCGGTCGCACAAGACCATCATCAGGCAGTTATACACAGGAATACGTACAGTCACTGAAATACCAATATGGATCCCTATCAGTGCAATGTGTTGTACTATATACTAACATAAAACTCTTGCCTCATGTTGGTGTTATAATTAAAATAGAAAATACATATTTCATTGACTACATATTCCTGTGTATAACTGCCTGATGATGGTTTTGTATGACTGAAATATGTAGCAGCAATAAAGATCAAATATTAAAACTGAGTATTTTTGTTGTGTTGACAGTTGACATAATTCCTATATATATATATATATCTGAAACACACATCAGGATGCAACCAATGAAGATAAGTTATCAGGCTTTCATGACTGTGACTGCTCAGAAAGTGGTCTTCTGGGTTGTAACACCATGTAATGTAAGAGACGAGTATTGATGCTCTTCCTTCTTCATGGCTGAAGCATTTAGGTTGCAGACTGTTTCAGGGCCAGTATATGCTTCTCTCATAAGACAAAAATGGAAATATGAGGAGAGATGGTTCTTTTCTGGGCCATGATATTATTTCCACTATAGCAAGGCCTGAAAACATTATCTTTTCCAGAGTTCCGGTTCCCTCTTGTGAAAAGGAAAAATTCTGGGGACCAGAAAAGTGGTTCTCTCTCTTCCTACTGTTTTCATTGGCCTGCGCCCCACTTCTATATCTCTCTTCACGGGTCTGAGTGACCTCCTCCTTGCAACCTGGTTATATAACCGAAATCTATCCTCATCCCACTCACTTCAGCCCTGCAGATGGAGGAAGCGTACTCCTCCGAAACACATCCATCAACTAGAGTAAATGGTGTCATAACACAGAAAGTACATGCATAAAGGAACCAACCAAACTGAAGTTAAGATGAAAGGACATACCAACTTGTAAAATCACATGTCTATAGTTTCATCTGATACAATTTCTTTGATTCACTTCAACACAATACTTAACCACTGACATATTTTGGTTCATTCTACATGTGATTAAAGGAACCAGCTCCATGAAGCAGAGTTCTTTAGAAGCTCTTCAGTCACACTGATGGTCATGGCAGGCTTTATTGCTTATAGGTTCACAAAGGGTTATTACATGTAGGATGGGAACAGTGTACAGGAAGTGTACAGACCAATAAACAGCAAGGGATCTGGGGATTCGGAACTGACCAAGAACTGAGGGAGTTATATGACATCTCTCACGAGACTCCAGATACCGTACTGCTTCAATTTTTAGATGCACATTTTTCACATTCTTCCCATTTAAAAATTAAAGCATGTCTTAAATTCAAGGAATTATTCACTAGTTTGCAAAATGTCCACAAGGTAGCCTGTAACAAACGTACCATAAACACATTCAGAGTGAGTCATCAATTCAAATCATCACCCCCACCTTTAACTGTGAGTCAACCCCCAACTTTACTCATGGAAAAGCATTTTATTTATGATGCTGCATTCAAAAGGAAAGTTATTCTGTGCACTGAGAAGATAGGTACTCGTGCATGCAGTTGGCAGAAAGAATGCAGTAACTGAGGCATGTGTACATCATTGGTGAAGCATAAAAACTAAACTGTTTCCTTGTCTGACAAACAGAAAGTTCTTTTCTGGATCAAGGAAAGGGAGAAAACCTGAGGCTGATGCCTCTGTATTACAGTAGTTCAAAGATCTATGAAATAAAGGATTACCTGTAACTAGGGAAGTCTTAATGTCTGAAACATCTCACAACCCTATGGGCCTCCATGGCCTGTTACAGGCATAGCTTTACCTTTATAACAGAAAAAGCAATGGATACCATCCTGAGCCAATTAAATCCAGCTGAACACCCTCATGTTTAATTCTTGAAGACCCCTCATCTCATGTATGATTAGTCTTCCAAATGTTCTTTCTGATTCCAGTTGTCCATCCAAATATTTATTTGCATATCTCATCTCTCATGCATTTTACATGCCCTGCACATCTTATGACCAAACATATCTGCTTAAAATTCACCTTATCGCTCAAGTCCCTGTCGACATATGTCAGGATATCCCTCACAATGTCTGCATAGAGAGGATTCTTCGTGGCAACATATGCAGAAGAATAAGCCACAACCAACTGAGCCTGGTCATACAGCATTTTCTCAAAATGGGGCACATGCCATCGATCATCTGTGGAGTACCTTGCAAAGCCCTGCAGAAATAAAACAAAATTAATGGGAAAACAATGTTACAGGAACCTAACAGTCTCTTTGCTCTCTGTCTTCATAAAGTGTTACATTTTACAATATTCAAGGTGCAAATCTGAACAAAATCAGTACAATGTTACATGATTTTTGTCTGCACAAAATCCATAAGCACTTTATTAATATTAAATTATAATATATAATATATATATATATATATAATATTATAATAAATTCCATCACAATCACGGGTTCAGTCATGAGGGAGGAACATCAGTTTTCTAAAATAGATTTTTCCCAAAAATCTGGTAGGGGGAAATGCCTTGTGAGAATGACAGAGATTAGTTCTTTCTAGAAGAAGTAGAGTGATTGAGCTCGGCTATTTCTAAAAGGGGTCCAGTGATTCAGATTAGCTCTTTACAATGGAGGTGACTGAGATGAGCTCTTATGAAGGTCAGATGACTGATATCAGCCTTTTCTAAAGAAGGTCCAGTGACTAAGATCGGGTCTTTATAACAGAAGTTCAGTGATTCAGCTTAGGAGGTCAAGTGACAGATCAGAATTTCATAAAAGACTCAACTAAGTAGTTGCCTTCCTCACCCTATCATGTGAAAATGCCAACAGATCCACTTTTAAATGTATTCTGTTGGGAATATTCAACAATGGACATAGTCAATGCACATAATAATAATAATAACAATAATAACATAACAATATTTGTCCAAATCTAACCTGAGACACATGATCATGAATTCCTCCCTTTGCCATCATCTGGAGGCTGTGGAGACACATGTCTAGGGCTCTCTGCCCTGTCTCGGAGGAAGGCTCTCGTGAATACACATGAAACAAGAAATTCAAGTTGACTGGCTGAGGGAATTTCGGTGCTTTTCCAAACCCACCATACTCTGGTTCAAAACTGTGCGATAATTGCTGCATGCACTTCTTCCAGCATGCTTCACCGGGGACTTCTGCGTTTCTCCCTGATGATGCTTCGTCCAGCACTGATGTCCTCTGCAGCACTTCTATGATCTTTGATCCAGACTCTGAGAATTTCTGACGATTATCCTTCCACTAAAATAAAACAAACAAAAGAAACGAAATCTTCAAAGAATAATTTGTCTGTGCAAGATTTAATGTTCTCACAGAGTAGCTACGAGAATTATCATCTTCTGGGATTTCACATTACATATATTTGGGGTTTATTTAATGACACTGTTAGTATCTTATACTATATAGCACTGAATTATATGATTTAATAAATAATGAGCTGGAGAGAATGGGAAAGGCAGCAGCTGTAGCCTAATATGAGATGCAATCCCAGCAGGAATGACAATAACTACTAGAAACCTTCATCAGGATAGCCAATATCTAGGTTGGGAGTTGGGTCTGAGACTTCCCGAATATGTAGCAGGAGTCAATGGAGCTTCCTCAGATGATCAGCCAGGTCAAAGTGGTCGCATACTGCCGCAGCTGATTTCCTAGGAAGACTTCGAAGCTTCAAATCATACACGAAGCACAAATGCTTATCACTGACCACGATGTCCAGTGAAATATAAATACCTTACGGAAAACACATAACTACAATAAAAAGGACCCAATATCCATCTAAAGTATCTCCAAGGGTATGTGATATTATGAGTAGACAGCCTTACACAAGATAAATCCTGTGTGCTGAATAAGATCGCTGGCATGGCAATTTCAGTTCCCATATTATACTGAAAACGGAATCTACTAAAAAACGCCGTGCAGTCCATTGAAAGCCGACTGAAGCTTCGGAGGAACATGTCGCCTCCATCTTCAGGGTCGAAGAATAGGCCAAGTGAGGAAGCAGTGAGAAGTCGGGTAGCAAACAAGAGTCTTGCTTGGTTTGTTCTCTGACCCTGAAGATGGAGGTGAAACGATCCCCCAGAATGTCAGCTGAGTTTCAACTGACTACACAGCATTACATTATAGAAGACAGAACACTTCACAACCACTGTTATATCCCACAGAGGCCAGTAACATTCTGATGAAGATGTAACAATCTATAGCACTTCCTCATAAAGACACACCCTTCAAAATGTTTCAGACACAGCTACACCTTCATTATCTGTCAAGAGCTGTGCTGTCTCACTTAATGAATATCTCGGAATTGTAATGATACAATACCTGAGTCGCTATGATGGAGAGAAGTGTTCTGAAGCCTGGACGTCCATAGTAGACATCGGCTGGGGGAAAATATGTACCACCGTACACCGGTGTGAGCTCAGGGGTAAGCCATACACTCATCGGCCACCCGCCTCCACCAGACGTAGCCTAGAAACACAGTTCCAATTGAACTCAACTGCAAAATAGGCAAAACATCACCTCTTGACATACACGGAGCAGAATCATATGACATTGGGGTTATGGCCGGGAAGTAGTTCCTCCAGTGACAGGTTGGAGCTTGGGGGGTCAGGACCACGCTCATTGGCCAACCACCACGCCCTGCTGCACCCTGATGAACAGTCATGCCACCATGCTCTCAGTGTGGCCAACAAGAGGCTTCTACAAGCACACAGTTTCCTGTACTACAGAGTGCTCGTCATGGATATGCTAAAGTACATTCTTCGGTAAAACGTAAAGTTGTCCCTGCGCTCAACAAATTAAGCACTATGCCATGAAGGAGTATAGGGGAGTGGAGAAATGGATGTATAGATCCACATTTTCTTCACCTCAGCTCTAGCTGGAGGTGAGTGGTCAGCTTCACGCCCCGGCCGATTTACCCCCGGGGGAAAGAGCTCCCAGTACCCATTCGATAGGAGGTTGGGTGGACCCCAGAGCCAGTCTGCACAATTTGGAGAAGGGAAAATTCTTGACTGTACTGGCACTCGAACTCTGACCCCTCAGTCGTCCAGCCCACAGCCAGTCGCTATACTGACTATGCTATCCCTCCTCTAAGTAGGTCCTTCTGCTAACAAAATTTAAAACAGTTCATTTATAATCAGTAATTATTGGATTTGGTTCATCAGCTTATATTCCAAACAGAACAAAGAAAAGTAAAAAGTAAAGGTACGCCTGTAACAGGCTGTGGAGGCCCATAGGGTTGTCAGATGTCAAGACTCCCACATTTTCTAGACAATCAGCTCAAAGATGTTGGGGAGGTTGTCAGCCTTATGCACTGGCCGACCTTTACCCCCAAGAATAAACCTTAAAGAAAATTGATATTTCCATCCTAAGCAGAAAAAGTGAAGAGGCACCTACCCTGTTGGGTCCTTTAGAAAGAACTAATCTCAAGATCTGAGGTTCTCACAGCAGGAGTTACGAAAACTGCTATTTTCTGCGATACAGTAACGTGAAGTCCATATACGAACCAACATTTTAGAGGAACGTATCACCTCCATCTTCAGGTTCAAAAATGAGCCAAGCAAGAAGCCCTATATATTTGTTATCCCAACTGACAGCTTATTCTGCCTAGGCACCTGCTCTTGCTGGGTTCTTGCTCGGCTGATTTTGGACCATGGAGATGCATGTGATACACCTCTCCGAAATGTTCGTTCATATACAGACTACACATCGTTATATCCCAGAAGATGACAATTTTCAACTAACCTCAGATTCTCCAGCAATTAGGATTTTTCTGAGGTCCAGTGACTGAGGCTAGATTTTTAATGGAGATCCAGTCACATACTGACCTGAACAAAAGTCATGTACATCTTGTCAACATCTGGTCTCTCCTCACGATCCACTTTGATATTAACAAAATGCTCATTCATCACTTCTGCCGTTTCTTCATTTTCAAAAGATTCTCTTTCCATCACATGACACCAGTGACAAGTTGAATAACCAACAGACAGAAAAATTAGCTTGTCTTCTTTCTTAGCCTTTTCAAATGCTTCTTCACCCCATGGGTACCTTAACAAACACAGAGGCACAACAAGTTAGGAAATGAATGCATACCGTAATATTTTTGGCATGTTTTCAACTTTTCAATTATCTAAAAATTGTAATGCTTATAAAATGGGATACTGGACATAAAATGTTTCATTTATTTCCTCTACAAATTATATATATGACATTTTCTGCTCAGATAAATATTTTGTGAGTTACATTCCAGATGTGTGCACAACATCTATGTGGATGTTCATGTGTAAACTGTCCACCGAAAACCAACTGACGTTCCTCCAAAACATCAGTTGATTTTCGACTGCCTACACAGTGTTATACCCCAGAAGATGGGACTCTTCAACTATTCACTCCTCATGAAGGTTTATATTACATGGAGTTGGTCAGCTACTGACTATAGGAAGTATATACTAAGATTCAAAACCACTAAGAGGGCAATGATGCTTTGTGATGAGATACGGTATAAACGAACATCTGAAAATGTTTTTACCAGTCAACTGGGTTGCCAGCATGTTGCAATAGGTATGGAGATTTCTCATATGCTAAACGGTTTTGATGTTTCGGTGGTAAGTTCACATCTCCTCCTGCTGCCATTGGTCTGTACAAGCTTTGCCTGTCGAACGAAATAAAAAATAATTAGCCCATAATTACGTCACTAAAAATATTCTAACATAGGAAGAATACTATGTGTTGTAATGTGAGGTCATGTGAATTGGTATTTTATTTCGGTAACGCTCCTTGTTGGAGTGAGAGCTCTAAAACATTATTACTCAAATACTAGCATCACTTCACACGGCACTTTTATTATTGATAATTAAAATGTCTCTCTAAATCCAGCATTTTATTGTTTGGCGCCACTACTTACCAGTACCACTGGCTCAAATAACAAATGCGAAAACACAGTGATATTGCATGAACGCAGCTAAAAATTAATGGTAACTACGAAGCATAATCTTACACAGCTGACGATGAAATTCACTATATTTTAAATGTGATGTCATGCATTTTAGTTTACAGGCTGCTTTATTTCATTCACAACATGAAATCTAACCTCTTAAACAGTTGTTTCTTGTCGTCACTTATTTCTCTTACACTAAAAAAGGAACCACTTAAACTATGACAGTAACATCCACTTGCTCTTCTAACCAAAGATGATACTACCGGGCATGATTTCAATCGTCCAAAACTCATAACAAGAAAAGTAAGTTCTCAATTTAAAATTACTTTTCCATTTCTCTTTATCAAGACGATCAAGGCGAACATTAGCAACACAAACACGCAGCCGCCAGTATGACGGCTACGACGGCTACGACCGCTGTGACCGGCTGTGACTGCCACCTAGTAGCAAAACAGTAATATATCTCTGCTTACGGTATTTCATATTTCATATTTATTTTGCATTCATGCTGTTACAACTGCAACACTTGAACAAGTCAACTCACCAAATACATCACTGTCAAAAGCTCCACAATCCTTGAATGTATCAGACTAAAAACAAAAACTGTACTTGCCGTACATCATCACCAGGAATTTTAAAAATACAACAATAGCTACTACAATTCCCTTTTCTTCTCTTTTTTTGTTAATTAAAAAACCTTGCTATGCTTCCTCATGTCCCTGTTGAAGAAACTCATTCAATGTATAGAAAGGATGATCAAATAAAAATAATTTTAATTTATGTTTAAATTCATTACATCCCTTTGACTTTTTAACTTCCAAAGGAAGTATATTATATAATTTAATGCCCACATTAATAACACTTTTCTTAAAAACTGATGTGTTACATTGTTGTACATGAAGATCATCTTTCCTCCTAGTATTATACTCGTATAAATCAGTATTTCTCGTAGTGTATATATTATATCTCTTAAAATAACACAACACCTCTATGATGTACAAGGACGTAATAGTTAAAATCTTCAATTCTTTAAATAAAGGTCTGCATGACACTCTGTTATTTACACCTTTCATGAAACGAAGCATCATTTTTTGTATTTTAAAGACTTTAATACTTTCATTTTCTCCTCCCCAAAAAATCAACCCATAACTTACCAACGATTGAAATTTGGCAAAGTATATATTCCTGAGTATATGTAAACTTACCTCATCTTTCAAAGATTTAATAATATAACATACCTTATTCAATTTTGAACACAAGGACTGAATATGTACACTCCATTTGAGATTTTGAGTTATATTAATACCTAAAAATCTAAACTGAGATGTATACTTAATTTTTATATTATTAAAAATAATATCTGGCCCTGAGATGTCATGCGGTTTCTTTAACTGGAATAACATAGCTTTAGTCTTATCATTATTTATAATCATATTGTTTTTTGAAAACCAAGATTCCAGTTGGATCATAATTCTCTTTATTTTATCTTGAAGGATGCTTTTATCTTTATCAATAACCAATATATTTGTATCGTCTGCAAAGAGAACAACCTCCCCATTTGCTATATGTTGGGGTAAATCATTTATGTATAAAAGAAACAAAAGCGGGCCCAATGTAGACCCTTGCAGTATTCCAAATTTTGTATTCCTCCTTATCGAACTAAACCGATTTCTCGAGTACTTATTATCATTAGATGTTATTTCAACATATGGAGAACGCATTTTCAGATAGGATTTTAACCAATCATTAATTTTTCCTCTTATTCCATAATGATCAAGTTTTTCTAGCAGAATATCGTGATCTATAACATCATACGCTTTTGAAAGATCGAAAAATATACCAACTGCAGTTAACCTCCTATCCAGATCTTCCTGTATATTACCAATAAATGTCTGACATGCCGATATAGTTGACTTATTTTTTTGAAACCCATTGTGAACCATTATTCAAAATCTGCGGGCATTGTCATCCAATTAGTTTCCCCTAAGTTTCGAGTAAAGCTCCTTACAAAATGGATCGGTGCTTAATTATGTTAGCCAACATTAAATAACAGTTGAATCAGGTTTTCTGCCCTCTTGATTAACGAATGGAACGTTACTTGCTGAAGGTACTGCCTCTTAAGCACTGCACCTCCTTCTGTGGAAGAATGGTGGCACAGGTCCTCTCATTTTCATCTCAGAACAATATGGAGATAACAAGTCAGCTTCATGGCTGTATANTGAATCAGGTTTTCTGCCCTCTTGACTAAACGAATGGAACGTTACTTGCTGAAGGTACTGCCTCTTAAGCACTGCACCTCCTTCTGTGGAAGAATAGTGGCACAGGTCCTCCCATTTTTCATCTCAGAACAATATGGAGATAACATGTCAGCTTCATGGCTGTATGGGCTGTGTTGTGTTCACAGGTATAAAGTAAATATTATCCACAAATAATTTAAATTTATACATTTTGTATGTGGTCATAATGAATCAAATTTAGTTAAATTAAATAAAAGAAATTGTGCAAGTAAATGTGTTTACTTTGACTCTTGTGTGATCTACTGATTACCATCATTAAATTATCAACCAAAAACTTCACAGTCTTTCAAGCCATCTTAAACTTTCAGCTTCTATGGTGAACAGTCTTCCTTGGGAAGCTAACAGTCACGTAATGTGTCAAAAATTCCTCATCTTTTATGGGCTCTGAATGTTCAATATTATGATGATGATTATGATTCTCGTGGATGAAACTACGAAAATTATCTTCTGTGATATGATGCCTGTGGTCTGGTAGGTTGTTACCTACATTCTGGAGGTACCTACTGCAGTATGTTCTTCAAGAATGTTGATGAATTTGTATCAGATTACATGGTGTCTCATCCCACAAGACCATCCATTCAGCGATGTCTTCACATAAGCCATGTGTGTAGGTCCTGACACCACAGCCTGGCACATCCTCAGATTGTGGATAGGATCTAGGACATCTTTATAGATTCAAATTATAACGATAATTTCTTTTCAGTCCCCATTATAATCTGGATTTCTACTGTTTGTCATGAATCATCTATTTCTAGTTGCTGCAGGTGCCATAATAATTTCTCTGCCCTCCATCTTCAATCTTGAAGTTTTTGCCATAGTATTTTTAAATCATTCAATTAATTTCTTGTTTAGGCACGTTGGAATACCTCCACTGTAGCCATGCAAGTTGCAGAAGGCACTGAAAAGGGAACCCGGAGCCTGGGGGAATAACTGGGTCATCCTGTCACTAGGGGACTTAAATACAAGACACCTGGTACTCCAGACTGGGGGTTCCATGCAAGCCTGAAGACCTTGCTCTGTAAAAAAAAAAATCCTGCTGCAAAATCCAGCAAAGTTAAAACCAGATGCAATTTGGCAGAATCTTCTAAGGAAGGCTATGGCTCGAAAGGGGCTGTTCTGCCAATGTTGATGATTCATTAATTACTGTATATGCATATAAACATTTGTTTATTTAATGGTTTATTTAATAACTGACAGTAGCTTATTTTACAGTTTCAGATGACAGGATGATCAATACTGGAAAAGGTGGGAAGAGGATATGGCCTGATTTGAGCCATTTGTCTGGAGGGACTGAGCTTAGGTAGTGTATGGATGCCACAAAGTAATGTTAGCACAAAATACGTACATTTACATTTTAATACTCGCATTCAAACAGAATACAGGTACATTGGCTAGCAACTTCATGTCCCATTTCCATATACCCTGCTTAAGAGTATATAGACCTACAAAAAAAAATACTGGAAAATACTTGAGACTAGTATAATTTACATTGGCATTACACAATCCTTAAAAACCACACTAAAAGTCTGGCTTTAATGTACAATACTTTCATTAAAATGAACAACATAGTTCTCTAATATCTTACATTTTCAGAACAAATTTACATTAAATCATAACAAGAACTTGGGTTTTACTCTGCAAATAGCTACAGATGTCACACCCATGCAATTTCTATGTTCTAATACAGCAAAACCCTCATATAATATTCTTCAATTTAACGTTTCCCTGCAGTGTTCAATTTCAGTAACCGAAAGTAAAGAACACAGTGTTAAATTCTCTCTCTTTTAAGGTTTCCCTCTCTATGGCGTTAAAGCTTAAATGGGGGTGTCGCTGTTTCACGATACTGTCTGTATCACTTTCTGCTAAGCTGCAAAGTTAATACTACAACAGCACAAAATGTTCCTCTTGCCATCTTCAGTATCCAGAGTAATGTTTCTTCATTGTCCAGTTTCCAAATCTCATCTCCTGAAATGGATTTAATATGCGTTTTCCACTTACACACAAGTCTCGCTCCTTTCTTTCTTTCTCGTGGTAACCAGTGTAACACATTTTTCAGTGATATTTCCTCTTCTGTTCAACTTGACCATACATCTCACTGCTCCATTTTTACTTCTCACCTGAAAGATATCTTAAATAATAAAATTCAACCATCTTTATTTCACTCAATTTTTCAGCCAATGGCCAGATTAAACTCCATATAACAGAATACTTTCAGGTGTGGTGTGAAATGTTTCTTAATTTCCTGAAGAAAGAATGTTTCCATGATTCCATGCAACATTTTTGTTGCAGTTTTTCCCATACAGATTCCGTTTGGAATATCTCTGACACATTCCGAAATCAGATATACAGAAGTTTAATTTCATCTATGAAATTCATCGAAAGTTTACCTTTCAGTAATGTAACAATTATAAATTATAAAAGTAATCAGATTAACTAGAATCAATTACTATAAATACTGAAATACAACAATAAAATCACGAAAAATTTTAATCTCTGTTTCTTCGGCCAGCAGTCAACTCCCATTGTACCACGCACCATTATTACAGGATCTACTGTAAATTTGACTTATGCTTCAGTTATATGTGGATGGGAAATGTGGCAAGTAGGCCGACCAGCACAGTTTCACTAATGTTCACCTATAATATAGGCAAACCGCCTTACTTTCCTGCTGCAATCTGCTTCATGCGATTCAGTGCACTTCCAGCACGGAACCACTCAATTTGCTGTTCGTTCATTGTGTGGTTCAGAGAGATGCTTTCTACTTTGCCATCAGAATGTTTAATTTCTGCCTTCACCGGCTGTAACATAAAACAAGAACACACACACTATTCATTGCTTCTTTTGAATACAGAATAATTCAGAATAGATGAATGTCAAATCACATATACATGCACATTTCTAACTCAACTTAATTCTCACGTTACCCCTCTGTGGCTTATTTAAACGGATGTCAGTATCTCACGCTGCACCGTATCAAATGTTAAGCTGCTATGTGAATAATAAAATGAAGGAACCAATTGTGGTCTGAGGCACTATCCTGGCATTTGCTTTGAGAAAGGAAAACCATGAAACATTCCGTAGCCTGTAGTCTGAAAGTGAACTATATTGACCAAGTGACAGCTGCTTGCTGGCAAAATTAGTGCCAACTTTGGCAGACTGAGGGTGTCACGTGGTCAGCGCAATGGATCCCCACGGCCGTTAATCTTGGTTTTCTAGACTGGAGCCCCTGTTTCCTTTAAATACCTCCTCAGTTATCCTCATGAGGCTGAGTGGACCCATTCCAGACCCACTACCTCTCTGAAAATATCGAAGCGCCAGAAATTGAACCCAGACGTCTGGATCTGTAGCCAGGAACTTTGACCACAAGACCACAAAGGTGGTCTATACATACACACATATATAAAGTGTCGCATGAGGAAAGGTCAATATTCTAGGAGGTCATAGTATCAGTCATTCTAAGCAAAATTATGTATGTACATGTGTCCTATTCCGTACGGTTTCCAAGATAGAGGTCTTTCACTGTACAGACGAGCAACATGCCATGTTCTCACATGAGTTGCTACCTGCACTGATGTTGATGGTGGAATTTTCAAAAATGTATTATACTAGGTAAACTGTATCAACTTTAGCAATAAATA